GCAAGTCATGGAAAGTTTTTGAGCAACACGGTATCAACATTGGTTTGATTTGGGGCTTGTGATGGTCACTTGAGAAAGGGGTGGTTGGAGTGGGGAGTGGGCAGGGAGGAGAAATGGAGGAAGCACCTGGGATGGGCATGAGCTGTAGTTGGTGGGGGAGGGAGGCATGAAGGTGGGCCATATTTGAGCAGGAAGAGGAACAGGGAGACTGTTCTTAGATAGTGCCCTCAGCCAGCCAGGCCACAGCAGAGAGTAGAGGAAGTGAGCCCTTGGGCCTACTCCTGACTCTATCTTCACCCACCCTCAGAGCTGGGGGACCTTCCTCTTGTCCGCCTGGATTTTTCCTGTAACCGCATCTCCCGCATCCCGGTCTCCTTCTGCCGCCTCAGGCACCTGCAGGTCATTCTTCTGGACAGCAACCCTCTGCAAAGCCCGCCTGCCCAGGTAAGAGGTGGGCCTGGGGCGGACAGTGGAGACAGGGTTGAGATTGGGCGGGAGTGTGGGTGGGTCCCTTTGGTAGCCAAGTAGGATCTGGAATGCCCCCTGCTTTTTCCCTAACTCCTTTCGTGCTCATCTTCACACTCAGATCTGCCTGAAGGGGAAACTTCACATCTTCAAGTACTTGTCAACAGAGGCTGGGCGGCGTGGGGGCGCTGCATTGGGGGACCTGGCCCCTTCCCGCCCCCCGAGTTTCAGCCCCTGGTAAATAAGGGTGGGGAAAGAAGCCTGGATCCCTAATACCCCTTCCTGGCACCAGTGTCCCCATGGTTTCCAGAGGGAGGATGGGCAGGGGGCTGCTGCCCAGTATAGGACTGACCAGCTCTTCCTGGCTGGCCCCAGCCCAGCTGAGGACTTATTTCCGGGACGTCGGTACGATGGCGGGCTGGACTCAGGCTTCCACAGTGTTGACAGTGGCAGCAAGAGGTGGTCTGGAAATGAGGTAAGTGCCTCCTTTCCAAGGGACATTGGTGATTTCAGTCCTGGAGGAGAACCTTTGAGCCAGGACCCTTTGCCTTTTACCTCTAAATCTCAGAGTGACAGAAGGCGGCTGGAGCTGTCTTCTTCCTTCCCTTGCCCAAGTATCCTGGGGAATGGCTGGCTTAGCAGCGGACCCCAAAGCCCTGAACCCATGAGTCCCCAGCTGTCTTCCATCTCTGCATTTCTGCATTTACAGTCAACTGATGACTTTTCGGAGTTGTCGTTCCGGATATCGGAGCTGGCCCGGGAGCCTCGGGGGCCCAGGGAGCGGAAGGAGGATGGCTGTGGTGAGTGGTGGTGTCGGGGGCCCTGGGACTGAGGGGAATGGACAAGCCTGAAGGCCCCCATCTGCTTGCTGACATGTCCTGCCTCTCCAGCTGATGGAGACCCTGAGCAGATTGACTTCATTGACAGCCACGTGCCTGGGGAGGATGAAGAGCGAGGTGCTGCCAAGGTGAGGGGCTAGCCCTTGTCCACTGTCCATCTGCTGTGAGAGGAGAGCTGGAGGGAGGGGCCAGTGCAGGCTTGGAGATCAGGTCTCCCTCAGTTCCTCCTTCTGCTGTTCTTTCTTCAGGAGCAGCAGCCACCAGCATTAAGTCCTGTAGCAGGGGAAAAGGAGAGGGCACCAAGCAGCAGGTACCAGAGCCACTTGAGCTGGCACCTCCTTTCTTTGCTCAGTCTCCTTGCACCGTCTCTCTTCCCTGACCTCCTCTACCCCTCTCATCCCGCCTTTGCCCCTTCAGGCGGGAGGAACTGTCTGGAGAGGAACGGCGCCGCCCGGACACTTTGCAGCTGTGGCAGGAGCGTGAGCGGAGGCAGCAGCAGCAGCAGCAGCAACAGAGTGGAGTGTGTGGGGCCCCCAAGAAGGACAGGTGTGGGCACAGGAGCTACTGGCAGGTGGTGGGCCCTGGAAATGAGTGGAAATGAGCCCTCCTGAGCTACTCTGCCCCTCAGGGTTGGCAGCCCCCTGCCTAACACTGCTGACCCCACATCTCTTCCTTCATTTTCTAGTTTTCTGAAGCTGGGGGTCAGGGCTCCTGGTGGAGGTGCTACAGCCTTGCCCACTCAGGCCACTTACAAGTATGTGTCCTCCCAGACTGCACCTCCCTGAGCCCTCTCCTTGCACTCCTTCCCCCTGACCATCCCTTCTAATTCCCATTCTGTCTCCTCAGCGGCATGCCCAAGTCCAGTGCCACCCAACTGGGAGCTTCAGGGGGACAGGGAGCTCCTGTCTCAGCCCCCACCTCTCAGGAGTCCCTTCCTATAGGTGGACCAGGTATGACAGGGGCTTTGGGAAGAGGATGGGGGCTTGTGTATGTGAGGGGTAGCCTGAGGGAAGAGTGGGACACCGAGGGGATGTCTCTCACCTGCCCCTGTCCCCTGCCTCTGTTCCCCAGTGACAGCACCTGCTCCTCGGCCGCTCGGCTCCATCCAGAGACCAAATAGCTTCCTCTTCCGTTCCTCCTCTCAGAGTGGCTCAGGTGGGTCTCCCCTCCCCAGAACTAACCCGGTGCTCATGCAGCACTAACCCCCAGGCTGCAGTCACCCGCTGGCCTGGGAGTTCTCTGGTCAATTGTCTCTTTGTGTTGAAAATCCCACAAACACAGAGACAGGAGATGTGTGTGCCAGACACTGTAATCCAGCTACAAAGTCTACAGTGGTAGTGGAGACAGCCCCACACCCTCCTTTTCCAGGTCCTTCCTCACCAGACTCTGTCTTGAGACCTCGGCGATCCCCCCAGCTTCTGGACGAGAAGGAGCTGATGGCTCAGTTGCGCCAGGTCAGAGAGGTGGGATCTGCATGAGTGGGGCCTGGGCTCAGCATGGCACCTCCTGGTTTCCTGGCCTCCCTCAATGTCCTCTTTGTCCACCCTGGTGCTTTGGCTGAGGACGGGAGATGCAGGCTGGAGCTCCCTGCTGACTCTGACGTTCTCATCCCCCATCCTCCTCCTTTCCCTGCCTTTCAGGTCCTTGAGTCGCGGCTGCAGCGGCCCCTGCCTGAGGACCTGGCAGAAGCTCTGGCCAACGGCGTCATCCTCTGTCAGCTGGCCAACCAGCTGAGGCCCCGCTCTGTGCCCTTCATTCATGTGCCCTCACCTGCTGTGGTTAGTTGGGGCCCAGGGTGGGAAGAAGGGAAGGGGACAGGGGACTCCTGTGGCCCCTCCCTTAATCTCTTATCATTTTTCCTTTCTCACACATCCCCAGCCAAAACTCAGTACCCTCAAGTCTCGGAAGAATGTGGAGAGTTTCTTAGAAGCCTGTCGAAAAATGGGGGTGCCTGAGGTATGGAGGGTTGATCTCAGAATCCTGGGGCTGGTCTACTATAAAGAGCGGTAGCATTCTGGGCTTAGCTGAACCCTTTGCATGGATGGCAGGGTTCCTTTCACAGGGAGTATGTGGTCCCCAGAAGGAAGTCCCTGTCCTGCATGTCTCCCTTCCCTGCATGCCTCTTCCCTGCACTCTGCATGTTGGCACGGCTCTGGCCCTGGCATGTGAGGGCAGGGGGTGGAAAGAATTGTCTTGCTGCTGCTGATGACGTCTGCCCTTTGTCCTTGTCCTTCTGTCCTACTCTCCCTTCCCAGGCTGACCTGTGCTCGCCCTCGGATCTCCTCCAGGGCACCGCCCAGGGGCTGTGGACCACCCTGGAGGCCGTGAAGCGGGTGGGGGGCAGGGCCCCCCCACCGCTCTGGCCCCCCTCTGGTCTGGGCGGCTTCATCCTCTTCTACGTGGTCCTCATGCTGCTGCTCTATGTCGTCTACACTCAACTCCTGGGTTCCTAGGACCTGAAGTCATCCCTTCCCCCACCACCTTGCCCTATTTCTATTTATAAGACTCCTGTGCAACCCCCATGCCCACCAGTGGTGCCTTCAGCCCCTACCAAAGACACTAGTGAACCCTCCTCCCCTCACAAACACTGACCTCAGAGGCCCCACTCTGGTACTCCCAGATCCTGGGCACCCAGCCTCTGGCCCCTCCCATCTCAGTGCTGATGGTGCCTTCATGCCTTCTCCCACCCAGCCCTGCCCTCTGCTCCCCCAGAGGGGGTGGATCTTAACCTTCCTGTTTTCACTCTCCACCCCCTACTCCCCACCCCCAATATTGGGGGCTAAATTATCTATATTTTGTAGAGAGAACTCTATATTTGTAGGAGATGCAAGGCCCAGTCTGGGTCCCCATCTCATGTATAAATTGTACAGACTGTGGCTGCCTGTGTGTGTGTGTGTGTGTTTGCGTCTGCTCCTACTGTGGCCAGGCCCAGTCCTGGCAGTACCCGTTGGGCTCTATGTGCCAGCCTGCCTACTCCAGCATTTTCCTCTGGAAATGACAGGTCTTTCCTCCCCTATGAGCCTTGGCCCCTGTGTCATCTCCCTTCTGATATCTGCTGGCAGCTTCTTTGCATCTCATTTGTCCCCAAACCATGTCCAGGGTGCCCCTGACCTCACCTCCCACATTTTTAAGGGCCATCCCGTCAGCTTCCTTTGACCAGGCTCCTTTAGGGTGTCTCCCCCCTGCCCTCTGCCAAGGGCTGGGAAGCCCAGAGGAAAAGATACACGGGGATTTCATCTGGGCCCCTCCCCCCAGGAGTCCCTGTGCCAGCCCCACCACATCCTGGAAGAGGAGGGGGCCCCAGGAAGGGGCCTCCCCTACATCGCTGCCGTGGTCCACGCACTGCTGGAGCAGTCTTAGGGGTTGAGGTAGGGGCACAGGGCCGCGACCGGCCTGGGATCCCGGAACAGAAGACAGCCACGTCTGGGCTCTGCTCTAGCGAGGACTGGTGAGGGCGCCTCGCCGGGCCCTGTTCCTCGGGCACCCCGTTGGGTTGGAAGCCGGCCTGCCCGGCCAGGCGCCTGGGTTCCTCTGAGTGTGACTGAGGGTCTGGGATGGAAGATGGGGCATCGGATGTTGTGTCAAGTGCAATAAAGAAGCTGGAAGGTCTCTAAGTTGCCGCTAGTCTCTGTGTCTCGGCGAAGGAAAGTGGTGAAAGCAATGCATTGTGGGAAAGGGGGTCTAAAGTGACGTGTGCTCAGCGCTCCCTGGGAAGCAGGCCGGGCTGCGCAACCCCCGCCCCCGCCAACAGGGGTCGCCCCGGGACCCAGCGGGAGCGCGTGCCACGTGGCCGGAAACGCACTGAGTGTCGGCGTCGCTGCGAGGCCGGGTGAGGTGGGTGCGGTGGGTGAGGTGGGCGGGCAACCTGGACTCACCCGGACAGACAGGGTGGTGCCCAACACGGAGGGAGGCTGGGACCGAGTGGGCGCCACGGAGGGGCGAGGCAGACGGGGTGGGAGGCCGGGCACAGAGGTGCGGGCCTGCCCTTCCTTCCCCCAGACGCGGCATGTTGCCCTGGCCCTTTCCACGGTGGGACGCCGGCGCGGAGCAGGCGCCGGAGGAACAGGGCCCCGCACCGTTCGGTGACCCCGGCAAGGTGTGGAACTCTGGAGAAAAAGCCCTGGGGGAGCCAGGTGCACCCCCACAGGACAGGTGAGGGGCGCGGCCCGCTGGAGGCACTTGCGGGAAGTCCGCGTGGGCTGGAGGGTCCCGCGGGTGCAGACTCTCAGTGGTTATGTCCGGCCTCCCGCACCAGGCACCTGTGGCCTGGCCGTGGAGTGTTCAGACTCGGAGGGGAAGGCGGGGAAGCCCTGACTGGGGCGTCTCAGTGCCTTTCCACCTCCAGCCCTCAGTTCCGGGCCCCAAGGCCTTCCTGGACCCGGAGAGGACAGCGGCGGGCCCCGCCCCGCGCAGGCCTGGTAGCCCAGCAGCACCCGGGAACCCCAGGTGGGTCCTGGGCCTTGCCCCCTCTACTCCTCAGTACCCCTTTACCCGCTCCTGAGCCTGTTTTAATCTCAAGTTACCCTCCCCCCCAGTTCCCCTTTTTCCCCAGATGGCCTGGGGGGTGGCCCCTTCGAGAATGACCCTGCTGGCACCGTGGGACCCCAACTATGAGGCTAAAGCTGGTTCGCAGCTGGTGTGGGTGAGTAGGGGGTGCCTATGGCTCTGGGCTCGGGGTGGGGCAGGGATACTCCAGTGATCTTTCCTGACCCTCCACAGGGACCCAGCTGTGCTTCCGGTGCCTCTTTCTCAAGCCGGACTTTGTGTCATCCCTCCTTCTGGCCGCTGTACGAGGCAGCCTCAGGCAGGGCCCGCAGACCCCTGACTTCTGCAGCGGTACATCAGAATGGCGAGCAGGCACCCAGGGATGCAGGTAACTTCCTTGGTCCCCTCAGACTCAGGACTAATGCTTCGTGAGCTCTTAGGGAACCCGGGCAGAGGTCCGTGGGATGGGAAACCCAGCCTGTCCCCCTGACAGCTTTTCTCCCTAGGATTCCCGGTGATGTGCTGTGAAGATGTCTTTCTTTCAGACCCTCTGCTGCCCCCTGGGCAGCGTGTTCCCTTGAACCTGCCTGAAGCCCCTCAGCAGGTGGGTACTTTCCTGCCCTGGCCTTATCGCAACCTTCGTGCAGGGCTTGGGAGGAGACACTTCCCTCTCTTCTCTCCTCAGGTGATGGGCTCTCTGAAGCTGCTGCTCCCACCCCCTATCATGTCCCCCCAGGTCTGCCCCACCCCGTCCCCTGGCTGCTGCACCGCCTGGCTCAGTGGGCCTGAGCTGATCGCCCTCACTGGCCTCCTGCAGATGAGCCAGGGGGAGCCAAGACCTAGCTCCACGGGTTCCTCGGCAGCTCCCACCCCCCCTTCTGGTCCCCTAGACCCTGTTTCTGATCACGCAGGCCCCAGTGGTTCTCACTGCACTGACCCCTCTCTCCCACAGACCCCAGAAACCAATTGTCCATAGCACCTTTGGGGGCATCATGGGCCCTCTACTCTTTCAGGCAGTTCTGTTGACAATAAATGTGTTGGTTTGCAAACAGGCTCCTTGTGGTAAGTAGCAGAATGGGGCATTCAGGCAGGGATAGGGGTCTCTTCCTCCATGGCAGCTTTGGCTGTCCTCCCCTAAAATTCTTGTTACTCATTGGCCACCCCCTACAGTGGGGTGAGGGAATACATGGGCCTAAGACCTTTTCAGGCTGACCAAGAAAGGCACCTTTAATGAGGGGGCCCACAGTACAGTTCCCCAGACTGAGTATATAAGAAACAAGGATTCCATCAGCTCTGCCAGGCCCAGGAAAGGGAGGATTGTGTAAGCATGTGGCTGACACTGGGAGAGGCAATCTAGGGAGTAAGGGGGTGGCACATCACTTTTGGGGGACACCAAAGCAAAGATACCTGGTGCTTTCATCCTTCTTGCGCTGAGGTCCCAGAAGTTCATCCTTGGAGCTGAGGGTTAGTTATTTGGCTTGTTGGAGACACAGGCAGGCACTGAAGGTGTGTGTGTGGTGGGGGGACAGGGAAAGTCCTCGTGGGAGTCCTCATCAGAGGAAGGGTGGCAGCCACGGTTCCCCCGAGACTCTGAACTGATGCTGCATAACTTTGCAGAGAAATAGAGGATCAGAGCTTTGGCTGAGAAAGCCCAGAAATTTGTAGGATTTTTTTGGAGGGAGGATGGTGATCTAGAATTTTCTCCCTTAAAAGAATCCAACTTCTTGGGGAACTTCCTCCTGAAGACTTCCCACTGCTGGAAGGGGCAGAGTGGGCAGCGGGCCCGAAGGGGCAGCTCAGCGCCTCTGTAGGTCACCCATCCAGGGGGTGCCTGTGCCTTAGAACCCCTCAGTTGTGGGAACACATGGAAATACATCCTAACTTTGCCATTTTCTCTCCCTCATCTCACTTTCCATCTGTCAGATAGACCTGGCAGACTCTCACCCTTGCCTCCAGAGTTGGTTCTGGGCCTTGATTTGGGGTAGCTGTGGGGGCAGTGTGTGATAGTCTTGGGGGGATTGCCTCATGCTTCCAGAGGAGGGACCAGGTCCAGGTCAACTAGCTGAGGTGGCTGGCTGAGGGGGTCCAGTATGGCAGTGTCCATTTCTAAGTAGTCTGGGGCCATGTACTCAGTGCACACCTACCCCTGGGCTATTTGGACTGGGCTGATACCCTGCTGCTCTCCAGCTCTCCCCAATGCTGGGATGGGGGCCTTGGAGCCTGTGCCCCGGCTCCCTGGCCCTGGCTTGTAGGAAAAGGGGCAGGGAGCTTGGGGAAGAGGACCCTGTGGAAAACTGCTCATGGGCACTTAACTCAGTGCCCTCCCAATCCTAGAGCAACTGGTGGGGAGCAGCATTGGCAGCAGAAGGAAGGTGAGGGGGGAGGTGCTATCATAAAGTAGCCACCCCCACCCCTCATGGGCTCCCACTGACTCATAGTCACTCCCAGCTCCCTTGGGTATGTGGCTCCCTCCCCTCTCTAACCCTCCGGGTATGGGGTATGAGGCTGATGCCCCCAGCATCCCAGGGTCTGGAGGGTTGCTTGCTTGCTCCTCTCACCCAGGCACCTGCTACAGCTCAGGCCCCTTGATTGGGCCCAGGTGACTGGGATCTCATGAGGTTGGGGGACAGCGTCTGGAGGCGCTCATCAGAGGATCCCTTGGCAGTGGCTCAGTCCTACCACCGGCACCAGCCTCCCTAAGTCGCTTCATGGCAGCCAGGACAGTCTCATGAATGCTTCGGGCGCCATGACATCTATTGTTTGTAGCCACAGCGCCCACGTGGGCGCCCGAGTGGCTGAGTTTCAGGAAGGAGGAGTCTGCATGGCCACAGCAGCACACACTGAGCAGGGACAGGAGCAGGGACCCCAGGTAATGATGCCAGGGCGTCCTTGGAACCTCTGCCCTTGGGCTTCTGCAGCAGGCTCAGTACCCCCAAACCCAGGCACAGGTGGTAGACACTTGCCCAGGCCTCGTGTCCACCTCAGCCCCTTGGGCCACAGTGTCACCGGCCAGACACCCTGAAATGGAGTGAGGATTCAGGTCCTGGGATCCTCATGGGAACTGGAACCTTGGAAGGACAATTGGATGATCACAGGAGGGGGAGGGGAAGAAGGGAGGGGGGAGTGTGTTGGAGTCACTGTGCTCTGAGAACTGATAAAAGTGTAAATGCTTAATGTTTGAACTTGATTTCGGTGACTTAGAGCAGGGAGAGGCTATGGATAGACCAAATCCACCCTATCCGACCCTGGCCCCCATATTCTCTCCGCCCACCCCGAACTTGGGCCTCACTGCGGTGGCTGCAGGCACCTCGAGGGAGGTGCCCTATCACACCTGCTGCTCCGCCTCGCTGGTCCCCGCCACGCCCAGGCTGCGGTCACACGTGCAGACGATAATCAGGCGGCCCTGGTGCGCGTCCACGCGCTGGCTGCTGGTGCACGCACCCGCCAGGCTCACGCTGAGTTTGGGCGGTGCTCCACCAGCAAACGTCTCGTTCTGATAACACTCGAGGCTTGGCGGCTCTGCACGAGGCAGGGGACACAGCGGTGCTGGGACTTCTGCAAGTGGCTGCGACGCCGCGGTGGACTCAGATGCACGGCGAGCGAATTGGACTCCGGTGTCCCCGTGGGGTGACCGCCTCCGAGATTCCTGCCGGCCACAGGCAGTAAAGTGGCCGGCGGAGGGGATGAGACGGCTGAGGAAAGGCCAGAGTGGGTAGAGGTGGCTGCTACCCGTCCGTCCTGATGCCCAGCGTCTCTCTCCAGCTCCCGACTTGAAGCTTATGGCAGGGGTTCTGCAGTGGCCCCTCGCTGCCTGCAGCGTGTGCCGGGTTACTGCCCAATGACTAGGACACCCTGGTCTCCGGAGATCGATCCTGGCAGGCTCCCCGCGCCTCCTCTCCTCCCCCTCTCCCCACCAACAGCTCATCACTCCCCACCCTCGCGCGCCTCGGGAGCTGGACGCCAGCCCAGTGGTGGAAGTGGAGTTCCAGTCGGGACAGCCTCCATCCCACCCGCTCGGACTGGGCTCTGGCAGGCGTAGGGAGCGCGGGGGCATCTCCATTGATTTGCGCTGACTGCTGAGAAAGTGACCAGGTGAGGCGAATGTGAATGCAGCATGGAACTGGGTCAGCAGTGACTGTGCTGGCTGCGCGATCCGCAGTCCTGAGTCACCTGCAGCTGAGCCCCGCCACCCTTACAGCAGCACCCTCTTCTGGTTCTAGCCGTCCAATATCCTTCCCCTCAGGACTGGTTTTGTACTCTTCCTTCCCAGGTAATTCTAGGAACCAGACCACCTAGCACTGGGTTGTGCTGACTTTCAAGGAGCTGGAGGTTCTCTGTGGATTTGGGGTGATAGGTGTCTTGGGATAAGTAAACATGTGGATTGGCCCGTACCCACCAGAATCCAGGTCGAGACCATGGAAGGAGGTTCCATGGAGGAAAAGGCCGTCTCAGGGGCATTTCCATCATGCTGCCCCATTACCTCAGCCCCTTCTCCCCACCACAGTCCAAAAATGCCACCACGGGCCAGCTGAAATCTGATCACAGTACAGACTCTCTGGTGGGGGTAATCCTTTGCCCTTTGTTTCCTGACAGGTTTGAGATGGGGTTGGAATTCAGACATTTAATTTTTTTAATTGATTTTAGAGAGGGAGAAAAACATCGATTTGTTGTTCCACTTATTCATGCATTCATTGGTTGATTCTTATATGTATCCTGATTGGGGATCAAACCCGCAACCTTGGAGTATCAGAGGATGCTCTAACCAACTGAGCTACCAGGCCAGGACTGGAATTCAAACATTTTTACAACTCACTTCTCATCTTCCATCGACCAACTAAGTTGGGGGAAGATGGCACTGGTCAGTGCACACTCTACAGGACAAACCAGCAGTTGACACCAATGGGGGCCTTAGAAGACCTCATGATATCACTCTCATGGAACGTAAGATACCTAAAGCGAAGCGCTGAGGGGAAGGGAGGGGAAGAGGGCAAGTGTAGCCTCCATTAAAGATGGTGTTTGGGGAGGAGCACAGTCAGGAAAAGATGTAACAAGAGTACTGAGCAAGGGAACCTGATTCTTTTTCTGACTAGTCCAAGGGCCCGGACAGCCTGAGCAGGGAGAGTAGGAGCGTTTCCATTTCCCAGGCCTAGAAAGAAGGGGCTGGAGTACTGGAGGAGCCAAAGGTGCAGGATGCATGGAAGCTAGCTGGTACCCTAAACACCTTTTAAGGGTGATACTGGGAGTGGGAGACGGGAGCCAACCAGCATCCTGAGGGTGGGTATCCAGCCAGCAGAGGTGGTGCCCAGGCCCACTTCCAAGTGCCCCTCCCCCCTCAGCAAAGCCCCATCAATACGCAGGAGTGGTGCTGGCAGCTCAGGTTGTGCACTGGGGACAGGGAGAGGCAGGTATGTGGGTCTGTAAGTCGCCACCAAAACAGTATGTTCAAGGCCATAGTCCCTAGTGTGGCCTTCATCTATGTACCAGATGCCAATGTGCAAAGTGGCAGGGACAAAAAAGCCATCTGTAGGCCCCTCCCTTTCCCAGTGTGGGTGCTGCTAAAGAGGAGGGCACCCATGGGGCCTCCCTGCTGTGCCCCTGGCCTGGAGCCTTTTCCCACAGGTTTGACTTGAAACTACCCACAGAAGTCTCGTCATACCTACTCCTTTCCACTCCCCATCAACCAAGCCACCTTGCAACACCCGGTCCTGGGAAATCACAGCTGCTGTCAGAGAGCAGCTCTAGATCACCTTAAACGGTGGGTAAAGATAAAGCAGGAAGCAGCAGGGATCTCAGTGCCTGGGTTCTGGGCAAGTGGTGGTGGTAGATGGGTTGGTTATCAATGCCAGGTGATTTAGCCTGCTGGGTACAGAAAGAGCCTGGAGTCAAATTGGCCTAATCAGTTGCCCTAGCAACACTGCCCTTGTCCTTACCCAGACAAGATTTATTCTAGCCTGTTGCCCTGGTAACTTGAGTTGCTCCCTGGGGACAGGAAATGGCAGAACCTCAGCTCTGCTGGGTGAAAACACTTCTCCCATCCACAGGGGTCCAC